TTTATACAGTACTCCTATAGATTTAGATATTTTTGTTCTTAAATAATGTGTATGAGGTCTCCATGTCAGCTTGTCATCAGTGATGATGCCCAGAAATTTCACCTCACTGACTCTACAGAGCTCAATACCATCTACTTTAAATGAGAAATCAACAGTTGTCTTCCTATTACTAAATATCATGTAATTTGTTTTATCCAAATTTAATGACAATTAGTTTTGTTGAAACCTATTTTGCATTTTCTCAAATACTTTCTGTACCATCTCAAACATTTTTTTCTAAATCTTTACCTAAACAAAAAAATGTATCGTCAGCAAATAAAACACATTTGAAAAGCCCTGACACATTTACTAAGTCATTCACATATAAAATAAATAACTTCCAACTAAGTCTCTATGAAAGAACAGTTACAACTCAAATTAGTAACATTATATTAAATTATAATGTCCCAAATAATAAATTCTAACAAATTCTCAACACCTCCAGTGCTGGAGCTTCTGCTGGGAAAACAGAACTGGTGCAAAGCAGCCAGTGGGTTTGGTGGAAAATCAAAGCATTAGGAGTGTTCTCAAACATCTGCGTTAACATTTGTCCTCTCAGGTTTTCCACGATGAGCTGTCATCTCTGCGTCTGTGGGTGTCTATGCACGTGTCTGACCACAGTGGGTTTCACTACCGCCAGTTCCTGCTCAAAGAGCTGCTCTCCGAACTAAGCCAGTCTCCAGTCKCCCCTAGCAACAGCAGTAGTCCTCAGACTAATGGGGATCTGTCAGGAGCCGAGGCAGCGTCTGAGAAGAGACAGCTGATCTTCTCTACAGTCCATCAGCTCTTCCACCAGGAGGCAGAACTGTGCTCAGACTTGATTCAGTCCTTCCCTGGACACGAAACTCTCTGGAGTCACCGGTAAGTTAGCACAAGTCAGGAAAATCTTTATTTCTGTAAGACTTCAGAAAGGTTTACTAAACAAACAGCAGCACATTATTTCATGCAGTAAAAATAGATGTATTTATTTTACGGGTGTATTTACACTTGAGACAAAACATTGGGAGGCCAAAAAAAGTCTGCTGTATTTAATCTAACCTACTTGCAGTCCAGAAATAGATCTGTAAGGGATTTTCTTTGCAAAGAGTTGCACACTTAAAAGCAGAGCAAATACCTGGTAACATCACCRGTGGAGTGTTGGTGTTATCAGGTAGTTGCTGGAGCTTCTGACAGAACAAGACAGCATTACCACAGGATTTGTGCAGGCTCTTAAAAAGTCTAAAATTTGATAATCAAAAATTTAGGCCTAAAAAAGTCTTAAACACATAGATTTTCATCCAAGATCTTGAATTAAATTTTGTCAAGTCTTATTTTTTTTTTTACTTTCGATCATCCCCAAGAAGCATTGGCTGTAGTGCTGGGTGGTATGACCATAATTTTATATCACGGTATTTTCAACATTTATACCGGTTTCACAGTATATCACTGTATTTTTCTTTTCATCACAGGTCAGTTGATAATATAATGTACAAACACTGCTTATTAACTTTTTTCTTTTACTGTGCCTCTATCTGTGTCTTTTCTTCTCTGACTGGTGGTTGAAGACAGTAGTCACGCATTTTGGTCCAGTCGTGAAGGAGGAGGGGGGTTATGAAAAAATTATTATCGGGTCTRTTGTTTTATGTTATTTAATAAAACTTAACAGACAACTCACCTTGCACACCAGTCGACTCAATTCCACTACAAAACTACTTCCCCCGGGTTTTTCACAATAGAACCACACTAAAGTCTCCATATTAACGTCGYGCATTAAATCTAACMGTGCACGTCACTGAAGAGGTGTTTACTACATTCAGYGATGGCAAAACTGGGATGGTTTTATTACTTCAGTCAATACAAGCAGCGGAACCACCACCCGCYGCCAGTAACTCCAATAAGCGTCTCCAATTAGCTTGCTAATGCACATAGTGGTGCTGCGAGAAAAAGTGTCSCCCGGGAAACAGTTGACTTGCGGCCGCAACGAAACRTTCCGAACGTGTTCAGGMTATTTAAACCGGTATGTTGGTATTAAGAAAATTCATATCTTAACAAAAATTAAAAWTGGTATTCRGTACGAACCAGTAAACCGCCCARCACTAATTGGCTGCATAAATAGAGTAAAGCGCCGTAATCAGAGGTTGATGTGATCTGTCTTCATGAAGTGCTAAGTTTGCTACCAGTCTTGGTACATGGTTAAACTACAAATCCTGTCATAACTGCAGGCAAAAAATGTCACAGTTCCATGTTTTTGACCTCTTTGCTGCTACAACCCCCCACATACGGCAGCTTGTTCACCTGCCCAGAAAACAAAGAAGTTCAGTCATGTCCACTGCTCATTGTTTAAACATGGGAAAAGGTGTTTTCAATGAGACTTGGCTTGATATCAGGGATTTTTGCACTCGGTTAGAAGCGGTCCACAGCAGTCAATATGAAGATGATATGAAGGTCTCATATCTATGAAAGTTTCATTAAAATTTTTTGTTCTTGTATTAAAATGAAATATTCTTTAACAGCTAAACTGATAGCAATAAAAGGTTTCTATGTTAAAATTTCTGGGACCATTGTAAATGTGTCCATTTGGTCTTAAAGGGGCAGTATCATGTAAAATCAACTATTTTGAGTTTTATATCATGTTATAATGTTATACTCTCATAAAAACATGCCCAAAGCCTTGCTCTGACTCATTCATGCATGTTTGAGAAGTCCTGCGGCGTTTTTAGGAAGCCATGCTGAGGAGGAAAACGACAGGTGGGGACCAGAAATGCCATTTGGGACCAGAAACGTCTCTGGGACGTGTCTTTAAGCCGCGCTTTCTCATCACGGAGCACACCTCCCCACCCCACACACCCCGCCCATGACTCCTGTAGGCTCTCGGCAGTAACAGAGCAAAGCGAAAGTGAAACAAACTGTCTGCTACTCTTAACTCTACTGCTCAGTCAGTGAAGCTCTTTTCAGATTCAAAATACCTTTGAGGAATTTCTGATGCCAAGTAAACTGCATCATAGCGCATGTGCTAAGACCCAACCCACCCCCAGCATGGACTATTCACACCTCTGCCCCCCAGCCGGGGGTACAGAAGTGACATACAGAACCTCCAGATACAAGAACTAATTTTTCCCAAGTGCCATCAGACTCTTAAACAGCTGATTGTGACAATCTTCAGACTATTATTATTGCACATGTGCACATTTCAGACTGTTATCTGTTGCRCATTTGCACATTTCACTTTAAAAAYAGACTGTACAGTTCCCTTCTTGTTGTCATTATCATATTGTTCCATTCTGATGTTATTATCCTTAGTTTGTCTCTTCTTTTTATCTAATCAACATTGTTTGTGTCCTTTTGGTGATGATTCATTTCTTTTTTTTAATATGGTTATCTCTCGGCATTTAAAAATGGACGACAAAGTAAGAATTTAATTGCTCAGGGAAACATGTTTTTCATCTGTGCATATGACAATAAACACTTTGAATCTTGAATCTTAGAGAYAGAGGCCAATTTCAAGGCGTTTAGAAGAGGAAGTGATGAGAAGCTAAGTTTATTTTCTATTTAAACATAAAAACAGCATTTTAATAATAGCTAAAAGTGACATAGATACTTTATTATGGTATAGTATTTAAATGTATGCCTGAGAAACACATAAARTTGCCCCTTTAAAAGGTCTTTAAAAGTTTTTAAATTTAACTTACTRAAACCTGCATGAACCCTGTTACCARCACTGATGGTGTCTTTTTAACCCCGATGGTTAAGAGCTGCCAAAGCTGCAGGCTTTTTATCCACMGTGAGAGTTTGAAAGTGAAACTGGAGCTCAGAAGAAGTAGACTGGCACTCGACAAGGCTTTTAGCTAGAGGGCCATTGAGACACCCCATTTCCATCTATCAACACCTCATGATGCTATTGTCTGTAAAATGGGTCTTGACAGCCTCTTCCAAAATCTACCTCTACCAAAAATATGTTCTTGCGTCAGCCCCCATGACATCTGCTCCTGCCATCCAGACATAGCGACTGGACGTTCCACGACACCACATACCATCCTGCACTGTCTCAAAGGCTATGTTCACGCTGCAGGTCTTAGTGCTCAATTGGGATTTTTATGCAAAACGTATTTTAAATGYRACCTTCATTAGACTCCAGAGTGAACTCTGTACAACACTGATACGACCTGCTTGCACAGAGCGAAGCTGGTTAAATAATTATCTGACTATTTTCGTTCAGTGTTTTTATCTGAACCTGCCTCTGACTGGATGTTTCAGTGCAGCATTTCATTTTTGGAATGAAGCAACAGGACAAAAGTAAAGATCGATGGAGTAACTTTAGTGTTGATACGGTAACCCTAACCGAGACCGACTCTCTGTGACCACAGTTGCCTGCAGAGTAAACGTAGCCAAAGACTGGCATCAACTGGACTATAGGTTCACCAACCTGTGTATAGACTGCCATTATACAGAGGTACAGATGGCTGTGTTTGAAGTGATGCAGGACTGATGACAAGTAGAAAAGCTTTGTCATTATCAGGGACAACACAGTCCTGTATTACCACAGATAACCCTACAGCACTGAGGGGATAAGACGTACTGGTGTTACTCCTTGTATCATGATTATAGKTTGTTTAAGCAGACATTTTTAATTTGGGTTACACTTTAGGCTAAACAATTTAAAGCTTTATTTACTCATCTGTAAGCTGAAAATAAACTAAAACTTAACTGATGTCTGTATCATGTCCATGTTGTGTTTGTGTTTGTTTTAGACGTCATGTCTTTTACCTGTGGGACCAGTGGAAGAAGCATCAATGCAGCAGCAGTGGAGACCATGACTTCAGTAACAATGACTCAGGTGACCCCACAGGTCAAACAAGTGGCAGCGAGGAGGATAGTCTGAACAGTCAGAGGCACACTGGTACACCTATGGAGGTGGACCGGGTTTTCTTGGCAGACCCACAAGACAACAAGCGACTGAGGAGAGGTGTCCTGCCGTCCATCCCCCTGACCCTGGAAACTGAACACGTGTTTATTAACAGTATACTGGACAGCTGTTGTAACTCTGAGCAGAGGAGCTTTGCTGTAGCATACAGGAAGTGGTTAGACATAGTCATCAGTATGCAATCCTGAGACCACCCTTTCAACACTAAAGATGCCTTTAGATACAGATTTAGAGTCAAGTTAGCTATCAGTAGTGCTAATTTCAGACAATAGTACATGATAAATTTTGAATCGAGTCATAGTACAGCCTACTTCCTGTCAGTGTGGAGAGTGGATGGAGTGGATTCTCATCATTAAGAACTATTTGAGCGTGATCTGAGCTGACACCTGTTGGTGTTTCCACACAGAACCAGTCGTGTGTCTGGTGTCAGACTCTCTCTCTCAGGTCTCTCAATGCCTTAGGTCAAATATCTGTTGTTTTTAACTAATAAACAGATTCATCAGCACCAATGAGTCTGTATCTGTTACATTCCTGAAAGGGAACAAACTGACGTGGAACTGTCCTTAAGTTCCGATTGAACAAAGTCAGCACCGGTCCTAATAAAGAGGGGAAGTGACTCGCTAACCATTGACCCATGGAAAGTGTAAAGCTGATTCATTAAGTCGACCCAAGGAAAGGGTGAAGCTGACTTGTTAACTGTCAACACAAGGAAAGGGTGAAGCTGACTCGTTAACAGTCGACACAAGGAAAGGGTGAAGCTGACTTGTTAACAGTCGACCCGAGGAAAGGGTGAAGCTGACTCGTTAACAGTCGACACAAGGAAAGGGTGAAGCTGACTTGTTAACAGTCGACACGAGGAAAGGGTGAAAGCTGACTCGTTAACAGTCGACACAAGGAAAGGGTGAAGCTGACTCATTAACAGTCGACCCGAGGAAAGGGTGAAGCTGACTCGTTAACAGTCGACCCGAGGAAAGGGTGAAGCTGACTCGTTAACAGTCGACTCAAATAAAGGGCGAAGCTGACTCGTTAACAGTCGACACAAGGAAAGGGTGAAGCTGACTCGTTAACAGTCGACCCGAGGAAAGGGTGAAGCTGACTCGTTAACAGTCGACTCAAAGAAAGGGCGAAGCTGACTCATTAAGTCGATCCATGGAAAGGGTGAAGCTGACTCATTAAGTCGATCCATGGAAAGGGTGAAGCTGGCTCGTTAACAGTTGACCTGAGGAATGAGGGAGAGCTGACTCGCTAACAGTCGACCTGAAGGATAGTRGGGAGTGACTCGCTAACGGGTGAATTTTAAACAGATCAATGCAAGTGGAACCTCTAATTATGAACATATTCAAACAAATGTTTCATGATATGAATGACGTTTGGGCTTCCAAGTCACAGATTGACTCCCACCACCCCAGTCACTTTGATGCACATTAGCTACACAGCAGCATTGATGCTAAAGCACTAATGAACATCAATTACTTTTTTTGCCATCTGAGAGCGAACATAAAGAAAAAGGTAAAAGTCTTCATCCAGGCTTGTTAAATACATTTTTCAAGATTTGAAACAATTTTTTTCTTAAAAAAAATATACAAGTGCAAAGGAACACTACATTAGCTAATATCAAGAATGACAGGTGTGTAGTTTTTTTGTTTTATTAACCAAAATTTGTCTGTGTTTCTATGGTTCTGTTGTTTCCTGAGGCTGCTGAATGTATCAGTCCAACAGAAGTCAGTCATATTTTGTATTGACTACACTCTGAACACTTTTAGGCACTGTATGCTTACAGCACACATATTAGCACAGCAACCCTAACGTTCAGTTGAGAAAAAAGCAGCACACTAAACAAACGGTGTTATGCTAAAGCATAGCAATTTAATATTAGCTAACGCAGCATTGTTTCACACTGGTGTGTTGTTGAGAAACTGTTAGCCTTGCCTGGACGATGACTTCTGTCCTTTTCTTCACACTCTGTGCTCTGACTGACAGCACAGCGGCTCAGGTACTATTTATTGATAATTAACTATWGAACTGAACATCACTTCAAATGACCAGGGGCCTCATGCATAAAGGATTGCGCAGCTTTCACACTAAAAGTTGATGTATGGAAGAATTTAGAAATGTGCGCTGCACCAAAATATTCAGATGTATAAAACTGTGCGCACGCAGGTTCCTGCGCACCTTTCCTTTGTACATCCCAATGAACGTGGAACTGAGCRCACGTGAGAMACCTCCCCTGACACGCCTACATTTAAATATGTAAAATAGATGTAAATGTGTCCAGTCTGTGAGATTCTCCTCCGATTGTCTCTCTGGGGGATCAGAAATGATTTTTAGATGCAGGAAAAATATACATTAAATGGAGAATGAGTGAGAAAACTGTCTAAATAAGGAGTGAGTGTTATTGTTTTATGTGGCACATTCGCACAGGATAACCAAAGCCTGAGATTTTCCTGAAATTTACAGACATCTCCTGAATGTGATATTGAAGTCTGGTTAGTTGTTTTCTATTTAGTTGGACACGGTGTTGAACGGAAAAATAAAATAAAATAAAATAAATAAAAAAACATCAAGTTATCCACTTTTTCCTCTCTCCTTTCCACCTGCGTTACAGCACGTAACTTTTTTATGCGTACGCACTGTTTATACATGAGGCCCCAGATTATCCCTTTTAGTATTGTTTATATCCCACTGTTTTGCTGTGTTATTAGGGAGCTGTAGGGCCTGTCTTGTGGACGGTTATTTGAGGCAGTTCTTGGAACAAATTATTTTTATTTCTATTGTTAAAAAGACAATTTATTGAAAATACAAATCTTCAACATAAAAATCATCCATTTGAACTAATTAAACTCATAATTAGAGGTTCTACAATATTATAAGGCAACATGTTACAAAAATACTGAACACAATGTGAATGATTTAATAAATTGTTACAAATCTAATGATAAATACTTATAATTTATTAATCCCTTCTGACAGTCAGTTTTTATGGATTTGTATGAGTGAGTGCAATGTAGTGTTATTTATTTAAAGCTCTTCAGTCTGTATTATAACCTGTTTAGACCTGATGCAACATACTGCATGCAACATGTTGTGTTTTTTTACCTTTAAGCCCGACGTGGCTCTCATTTTAAAAACACATGTACAATCATTTTTAAATAGAGAAAAACTTGGCAATAATTTACAATAAAAGCTAAAAGTTCAAGCCCATGTATTTTATTTCATGTTCTTCATTTTAACAATAAAATATTTTAGTAAACAGCTGAAAGATTATGGTTCTGAGAGAATTTCCATCGTTATTTAACTTTTATGAGCTAAGCGTGCAGAATCTTTACTGTGTGTTATTGGCAAAAGTTTTCACTCTGTGTAAAACTTGTGGTAAAAGAAATCATATCTCAGATACGAGAGGGACGAGGCAGGGGGAGGAGGGAGGAAGCCAGTGAAGGTGGTTCATTGATGGGGAGGGGGGTAGAGGTGGGGTGCATCTGTGAAATAAGTCTGTGAAACCAGACCCAACAGCCCCACCATAGTTCCTGATAGAGGTGTAGTGTTCATCAGTTCGGCTTTGGTTACTCTTGGACACCAGTTCACAGACGTGAGTGCGAGAGGGGATGGTGGGTACAGAGCATCAGTTTACACAATATCCAGGAGAGTTTGAGATATCCAGCCTTCAGGGCTGACACATGATTCAGATAATCACAATTGTTTTGGTACAGGCCGACACTGTTGATTATATGCTCACATTAAAGTCTCATTAGAAGAACCCCTCATTGGTGAATTAGGGATGTCCCGATCAGATGCTCGGTATCGGTGGCAGATATGGCCATTTTTTGAAAATCGAGTAGAACTGGATTTAGTCATGCGATCGAGCCGATCCAGTTTTCGTGACAGTTTTCAGCATCATCATGCTTTACGACTGCCGTTAAGAAGTCAAGACACACACAAGTATGTAACATGTCCACAGTGTGGAAACACATCAATGGAAAACAATGATGCTGAAACTGCATCTTGCAAAATCTGCAAACTGGATGTTTCTCGTGGTGGGAACAGCAGGGCTTTAATACTACCAACCTTGTCACTTGGAAAGAAATAAAAATAAAGCTATCAGATCGTTATCGGAAAGACTAGTCATTAAAAAAATCTTATTGTGTCTGGAACCAAAAAATCTGGGTCAGGACATCCCTATGATGAATTCCAATCATCCAACTTTTTTGGTTCTCGCTTCACCAGGCGTACAACTTCTCCCAAGATCTATACCATTCTGCCAGTGAATTCGGGAACCACAGCTGGCCTGTGACCCTCAGCAAGGATCGCCTCCAATTAGGCCTGTCACAATAACAAATTTTGCTGGGCGATTAATTGTCTCAAAATTTATTGCGATAAGCGATAATATTGCCTGGTGACCGTTTTACAACTAATAATTATAAAAGCATAATATGTAAGTGTAATAAATCAATAAACTTTCATTTTTAAAAGAATGTTTAACAAAGTGGACTCTCAGTCTCCAACAAAAAATGCACTTGAATAAAAAAAAACAAAGAACAACAAAATGTAAATTAAACACCACACACAAGTGAAACAGTAAATAAACAATATTAAAGAGCAGCATCTCTTTAGAGATGAAACAAACTACACAGCCTGGTGAGGACCCACTGTTTCTTATGGGGACATAAGCCCAGTTCACATCCCATGTAAAGTTTAAGGCTAGGTTTAGGGTCAAATGGTAATAGAAAATACTGGTAAGTGAATGAAAGTCAATGCAAAGTCCCCATGAGGATAGAAGAACAAACGTGTCTATGTGTGTGTGTGTGAGGAGGAGACCGTCAGAGCGCTGCGGGGGAGGAAATCAGACTGTTCAGAGTTTTCCTCATGAGTTGTTGGGACAGCTACAGGTTTTTTGTTAAAACACACATGGTGCGTTTAAGTTTCCTGTTATTTTTGGGAGCTACAGGTAAAGTCTTGACGAGTTTGTTGCGGGTCTTGGGGAGTTTCAGCCCCCACCCCTTCTCCTCCTCCTCCTCTCTGTCTCTCTCTCTCTTTCTCTCTCTCTCTCTGTCTCTCTCTCTCTCTCTCTCTGTCTCACTCCGTCTCTCTCTCCCTCCCTCCCTCCGCAGCGAAATCCAGACTCTAGTGCTCCCGACACTTCAGCAGCCGCGTTCTGCTTTGAAGCGTTTCTTTAGGAACGATCATGCTTAAGCGAGAGTTGACTCCTCTCACACTAAGAAAACAGGAGGGGAGGGGTCAGCTGAGCTCCTGTGCAGCGGAGCACAGAGAGGGAGAGAGACGAAGTAAACAAAACAAGCAGGAAAATGAAACTTATCGCCGTCTTTTTTTTTACCGACGTAAAAAAAAGTTATCGTGCAATTAATTGATTTATTGTCTATCGCGACAGGCCTACCTCCAATTTGCAATTCTTCTCCAAAAGCGTCTTGAGTCTGAGTGTTGACAGCTTGACATATCCATCACACAGGCCAGTCAGGCTTATCACAGCTCGAATGGCTGCCAACTCTCCACATTTCTTGATAGGCCAGATATCCACCAAGTCCAATGAGCAGAAATTCTGATATTAGTAAATAAATTGGCTGAATGGGTTTGAATTGTTTATATGATTTGTGTTCATTTTTTCTGAGATGACATGTAAAGCTGGGCTGTATAAATAAACTGAACTGAACAGAATAGTTTAGTGAAATGCAAGAAAAATAAACCACCAGGTCTGTTGATGTAATGAACTGTTTACAACATGAGCACACATTGAGCTGTCTGGGTTCAGGTTGGACTTCAGAGTTTTATTTGTCTAAAATAAACAAAATAAACTTGGGGTACATGTATTACATAGATTACAACAGTGAACCATGAATATAGCAGTTTTAGGATTCTGTGGGTTTAAATGATCAATCTGTTATATTTTATGAGCCACAGTAAGAAAAGTCTTTTAGTGAAAACAGATAAAAACAGGACCTTTAAATTCCCACTGGACAAACAAACATCAAATCAACATAACTAGGAGCTCAGACTGCATGAACTGCAGAGGGTAGACTCTGGGTTCAGGACTTCTCAGATGTAAACAGGTTGCTCCTGAGCGGTCAGCAGACGGTACATGGCAGCAGGCATGGTCTTCATGTGGATCTGAAACAAGCAGCATCAGATGATATTTATAGAAAACATTTTACTGAAGACCACATGTACTGATGCCTCTAATTTCTGCTGTTTTACTGCATTACAACATATTCATCATTGGAAACATCCCTGTTGTGAAGGGGGATAAAGACAGGATGTCTGTTGCAGTCTGAGATGTGAATGTTACAACATTTATTCAATTTTCATGTATGATTTTGTACATATAATAATGCAACAGTAACTGTCCATCTGAGGATGGGTTGTGGTGACAGCAGCTTGAGCAGACATCCCTCTCCACCTCCAGCTGTTCTAACAGGAGTTCAAGACATTTCCAGGCCAGCAGAGAGACGTGGACTCTGAAGTCTCTTCCCAATTGACACAGAACAAGAAGAATCCAGGGGGCTTCTTTGCCAGATGAACCACCTCAACTGGGTCTTATCAATGTGCTCATCCTCTGAAGAGGGAAACCACAACCTCAGTCACCTATTGTGGTCAGTCTCTACTTGGAGAGACCTGGACTCCTTCAAGGGAATAACACAGAGCCACTGGTGCAGATGTAGGATGATGCGTATCTGGATCTAACTAAGAAAGTAGAAGTTCACCAAACACATCAACTCTGTGGACATCATCAGGTTCACCAGAGAAGATGTTAAAGAACAAGCTGCCTTTTTTAGATGGTCTGGTCGACATGGAGAGAGATGTTTGTTTAGAGTCAACAAGACCCCCCTCCAAGAATTTCACGGCATGTAGTTATTTTAATTTAAATAATGCCAGATCACATTGAGCTATTTCTGCAGTGGCTCCTCCACATTCACCTAGCTTCTGAAATGCCAAACTTGGAAGAAAAGAACAAATGTGGTTCAGCTTCACCAACGCTGACACACAGTCACATGCGTAAGTCTTTTTTTGGCGTAACCACCCACTCAACACTGTAGTTTAAAGCTGCTTATCACCACTTATTGTATAGAGGTGTATGTGTAATTAAGACCCCCGCACGCAAAGCAGGAGTCATTGTTTTTGTACCGTTTTAGTTTATTTTTTAAAAATTGTGATTTTTGGTCAACCGTAGCACAGAAATGGCTGCACCAATCAATATGAAATTTGTCAGGAATATAGATGTGTCCGACCTACACTGCACCAGCCAACAGATTTACGATAGACCCCATATATAAGGGAGGGGGCTCCATCTGAAAAGGGGGTGTCTGGACATACAAAATGCTTATAACTCAAAAACTATTTAACATAGGAGCTTAAGATTTTTTTGTTGTTTAGCTCTGATGAAGCACCAGTGAGCAACACCCACCCCTCCAGACCCCCACCCAAAATGATAAATCTGTTCTGGTGAGTTCTGTGTTGTGGTGCATCGCTGCTTTGCGTACATGCAGGGTCATATATGCTACTGCTATGCGTATCTAGTTTTAGTGTGTCATGGAACAAAATAGATGTAAACTAAACAAACGCAACTAAGAAAAGTAACAAGTAACTTTAAAGAAATGTGAAGTCAAAAAATTAATAAAATGCTACTCAAGTAAATAGTAAACAGGTCCTCCTTTTTTTGATAAATTACACTTTCTCAGAAACTGTACGTAAGTACAGTATTCAAGTAAATTTACGTTTTTACCACCTCTGGTCTCTATGAAGATAGAAGGAAAGGACAAGTAACAGAAACATCAAAGGCGCTCTCCAAAGCTGTGGCTGTCCTAACTAAAGCCTACAACACAACACTGAGCCTGATACCCAGTCAGTTTCCCTTCATGCATGTGATCAACATGTCTCTCTGTGAGCCAGGCTAACAAAGACTGGAATGTTCTGCAGGTGGATCCAGGTGATAAAACAGTTTCTGATACAGTTTAAAGCTTGAACTCCACACTTCAGTGAACTCAGAAATGTGCCTTGATGGGAAGAAACATTTTCAGCTACTGAACACAAGTCTGGTTTTACATTCATTTTGTCCTGGATGACAGAACCTACACCAGCATAAAGTACAGAAAGTTCTACCTCACTGTTAAGCTTGCAGGCGATATTCTCCTGGCTGATTATTCAATAATGGCTGATTAAATCTGATCAGAAATCACTGATTAACTCAAGTCTGAGGCTCCTTTAAACCATAATGAAGATATAAAACATCGCCCACAGTTTCTAGTTATTCTCTTAACTTCAACCACATATCTACTTTTATTATGCCTCTCTAGTCTAAGATACAACAATGAAAAAAGTTCCTTACAATAAGGACAATAATAAATAACAGGTGTGGACCATTTTCACAGCCAGTGTATTCTCACCTCTCCCACAGTGTTGCACAGGATCTGGACAATTTTTTCATGGGGTACTGCCACCACACTCTGGGTGTTGATTTCAATGATGCGATGTCCCACTCTGACCCCTCCTCGTTCAGCAATACCACCACGTATAAGGCTGCAGATCTGTTGAAGGGATACAGTTGTTGTTTTTTTATTATTATTTTTTTCATTAATCAAGCAGCTAAAAGGTTGCAAACATCATTAAACAGCCAAGTTTGGTGTTACCCACAATGCCGTTTTGGACACTGAATCCCAGCTGATAACGGAGTGCAGGACGTCTGATGAGGACAGTGGTCACCGGAGGACATCTTACAATACTCAGAGTTATCCGAGACTGGTTTTTTAAATCCTGCAGGAAAAAAAACATGGAGGATCTGGTAAATCTCTACATGCACAAGTCTCCATCTGACCATCCATCATCCATACATCTGTCCATCCATATGTACACATTCATGCATTGATACATACATACATACATACATACAGTGGTTTGCAAAAGTGTTCATACCCC